GCGCGCAGCCGGCGGCACGGCAAGGGACACGGGGACACGGGACAGGGGCACAGGGCGAGCCGAGGGGCACAGGGCGAGCCGAGGGGCACAGGGCGAGCCGAGGGGCCGGGGACAGGTCCGAGCTGGAGCCGGTGGAAGCGGTGCCCGGGACCCGCGGGCGCTCCGGTGGCCGCGTCCCCGCGGGTCGGGACGAGATGGGATGAGACGGGATGGGTCGGAAGGGGATGGAATAGGATGGGATGGGGCTGTCGGGTCGATACGACTCGCTCCTTACCTGCGGGAGGTCATGGCTCCGCGGAGCTCCGCTCCCGGCCCCGCTCCCGCACCGACTGCCCGCACCGCCGCGCCCCGGCGGGCGCTGGGCCCGGACCGCCGGGGAAACCCCTCCCTATGACGCGGGGGAATCCCCGCCCTCCGCCCCGCCCGGGTCCCGCTGCCCATGCCCGCAGCGTCCGGCCCCGCTGCCCCATCCCTGGGTCTGTTCCCCCGCGCCTTTGCCCTCCTGGGTGCGCGTTCTCCGCGTCTCCATCGCACCCCGGGGCTTGGCAGCGCGGGGGAGTTCGTGGGATGGAGTCGCGGAGTCCTTACGGTGGGAAAAGCGCTCCCGAGATCATCCAGTGCAACCATGAACCTGGCACAGAGCTCACCACGAAACCGTGCCCCCCCCAGTGCCACATCCACAGGAGTTTCGGACACTTGCAGGGATGGTGTTTCCATCACTGCCCTGAGCAGCCCCTTCCAATGCCCGACCACCCTTTCAGTGAAGAAGTTTTTCCTCGTATCCAATTTAAACCTGCCCTGGTGCTGCCTGAGGCTGTTTCCCCTTGTCCTGTCTCTTATTCCCCAGGAGCAGAGCCCAACACCCCCCCCCCAGGTCCCCCCTCCTGTCAGGGAGTTGTAGAAGGTCCCCCCTGAGCCTCCTTTTCTCCAGGCTGAGCCCCCCCCAGCTCCCTCAGCTGCTCCTGCTGCTCCAGCCCCTTCCCAGCTCCATTCCCTCCTCTGGACAAACTCCAGCCCCTCAATGTCCTTCTTCTTGTAAGGAGTCCAGAAATGAACCCAGGATTTGAGGTGTGGTACAGGGGGACCAGCAGCAATTTAAGACATCCCTCAGTACCCAAACACTGCTAAAGGTCCTGATTGTGGGGCTGAGCTCATAAAAGTTCATAGAAGCTGCCAAAATAGTGGAACAAGCCACAAAGCACTGAGCATCTGAGGCTGGTGAGGCTCAGCCACGTCTGTTATCCCTAAAAGCCCCTGACTCAGGGGTGCTTTGGAGTCAGGAGGGCACAGTGTCCCCAGGCTGAGTCCCCCACTCTCATCCCAGCATCTGTGGTGACACCAAAACCTCCCACTGGGATAAACTGGGGGCCAGGTGTGCTATAGCCACGCCGTGGACTTCAGACAAATGAAGCACATTTTGCCATCTGAAGTGTAAATTCAGAGGCCTTTAGCAAACTCACGTGGAATATCTGTTGCTTCCCATAAAAGACAGGAATTAACCCAAAGAAATGCCCTCAATCTGGCACCTTTCATGAATGCTGGGTGAGAAAACAAAGCCAGCTGTCCGAGAGAGAGAAAAAGCCAGGACCCAGCCAGTGACACCCCCCCCTCCTTCTCCCTCAGTCTGCCCCTAGTGTCAAAAATAGCAGTTTTATAACTATAATAAGACTCAGCGAATTCCGTGTCTATTCGGGGAATACCCAGGGAGCTGGCAGCAGGAGCCAGCTCATTTCTGACTTCAGCTTCCCTGAATGCCACTGGATTGCTCACAGGGCAACGAGGACCACGGAGGCCAAATAGCAACCCCTGATAATGGTGACCTCTGGGCTCTCCTTCCTCTTTTCCCCTCTTGTCGAGGCTCCCGGGCACTGGGACCTTCTCTCGGGGCACTGAGGCTCCTTTGTGAGGCCAAAAATGTGACCTGTGTGTGTGTGTCAGTGGGCTGAGACCCTTTCTGGTGGGCAGGGAGGGACATGGACAGCGACTCAGCTTCTTGGTTAAAAAAAGGAAACCACTGGAACTGTTCTCCCCACTTTTTACTGGTCTCCAGGCTGTGCAACTGGGAGGCAGAAAACTGGGGAAAACAGTCCCTTCCTGGGAGATCTTAGCCCTCCTGTCCATTGGAATGCTCTGATCCCAGGGAAATAACCCCCCCCCCCCCAGAGGAATCCACACCCTGACCTGCTCTCAGCATCCAGAACATCCCATTCTGTGGGTTGTTGGGAATGTGCCAATCCCTCGGGGTACCTGCTGCCGTGGAGAGGGACCATGGAGGTGTCTGTGGGACCCCTCTTGCTCTCTGGGCTCAGTCCCAGCCTGGTTGGCAGCAGCACCCTCAGGAACGAGCCAGTCCATCCACGTCTCCCTTCACAGGAACCAGCACTCTGGGAGTGTGTGAGTTATCCTGAAAAACAAGCCTTGTTATAAATCTGCTCCACTCAGGAGATGAGGATGTGTGTGTGGACCCCCTGGAGAAGGTCAGCCAGCCTTTACTGCCACCTCAGCACGTGGAGGAGGAACGGAGTGTTTATTCCACCTTTTTTTTTGGCAGCTGTAAATTCCCACCAAAAGTAACCCAGATCCTCATTAGGCCCCATTTACATTTTCACTTTCACATCCCTGAGGCTAGAAATGAGGAAGAACACAAGGTCTGTGATACAGGTATGGCCAAAGCCACCAAATCCAACCTATAACACGTGGTTGGAGCCCAAAAATTTATAATGTAAAAGAGAGGGGAGCCAGAAAAGTCAGAGTCTGGATCATGCAAATCCTTATTGAACATGACCAGCCCTGTAGTCCTGGCTTGGTAAATTGAATTATTTGTGAATCTGTGCTTTTATAGAACCCAACCAGACTGACAGTGCTCAGTTGATTATAATCAGAAATTAAGCCCAGCTGCACCCTGTGATCTCTGAGGACCAGCTGGAACTCAAGGGGTTTTTTTTCCTGCTGAATTTCTGTGCCTTTAATGAAGGTCCCCCTTTGACTGGAGCCCCAACTCAGGGGTTTAAGGGTGGATCAGCTGCTCTTGGCCCCACACTGAAGGCACAGAGAGGCTCCCACACAGCCAGGCTGGGATTCCCAGAGAGAGCTGAGGATGGGTGACACCACCCAACCCCAACTGCTGCCTGCTGTGCTCCCAGTGGGTGCTGCCTGGGCAGCCAGGGGTGTTCCTGGGAGCCCTGGGAAGCTGCTCAGAGCAAGGGCTGCCAAAAGCACGGCCAGGCCGAGTCAAACCTGCTGCCTGCCCAAGAGTGGCTTCTATCCTTTCTCCCTTCCTCCTTCCCCTCACAATGGCTTTTTCCAGCCTGTAGTAAAAGATCCCTCCAGCTGCCAAGGTCTCTTTTCCCCTCTGGCCGAGACAAGGATGGCTTTTTCTCCCTCTGCTCCACGGCAGAGCTGGCAAAACGCCTCTGGAAGAGGGACTGGCTTCACAAGCCCGTGCCTGACATGGCATAATCGAGCCTTTGTGGAGGAGAGGCTGCACCAGGAGGCTGATCCTGAGCAAAACATGGCCCCAGTGGTGAGCTCTGCATCCCCCCGTGGCTGCTTCACACAGTGGCCCTGTTGTTTCCCACTCTTAGTCTGTGCTGGCTCATTGTCCACCCAAGAGCCAGTTCAGACACCAATCAACTCCCATCACTGCTGGGATCAAAATGACTCCATTTGCTAAATTAGCTGCTCCCAGATGGCAAGAAACCCGTGTCCTGGTCTCACTTCACCCCACTTGGATGAACCTGGGAGCTCTTTAATGAATGAAATTCTCCACCTCTCGCCCTTTTCTGGCAGGAGGATGATGCTGCAGGTGCAGGTGGGAGAGCCAGGTGGGAAGGCACCAGCAGGAAAACCTGTTCAGGGCAGGAATGGAGATGCTGGTCCATCTCACAGAATATCCCAAAGATCCCACAAGGATCAGAGTCCAACTCCTGGCCCTGCACAGGACACCCCAAAAATCACATCCTGTGCCTCAGAGCGTTGTCTCCAACCAATATCCTGCTGGAGACTGGCTTTCCATGGCCATGGGGAAATGCTGCCATCCACGAGGAACAAGCCACAGGAGCATCACTTCAGTCTTGCTGACACAGTGTGATGCCCATGGGATGCAAAACCTCTGTGGAAAATGATGTCCATGGGATGCAAAACCTCTTTGGAAAATGATGTCCATGGGATGTAAAAGCTCTTTGAAAATGCTGCCTGAGATGAGGTGATAAAAGAACAGCTGGAAAAGGGGGAAAAAAACCCTTGAATTGCTGCAACCACTGTGATGGCCACAGAGGGGAGGGAAAGACACACAGGTCCTGCAAACCCTGGGTGGGTGGGATTGAGGTTGGAATTCATAAATAAGCTGAATTTAGAAGATACAGCAGGTACCTGCATGAGCTACTCAGGTTTTGAGGGAAATCTATCCAGGAGGCAGTGAATAAGTGTGAGATAAAGTACAAAAAAAAAAAAAAAAGAAGCAACAGGCCCCTTAAAAACATATTTAATAGTTTTCAAACTTTATTTCATGGTGATTGACGAAAGACACAAGTTAGTAATGGTTATATCATGCTGCTCCTCTACTGTGCATTGCCCTTCAGAATTCATACAGCAGTTCACAATGGTCATTAATTTACCCTATAAATGAAGCCACGTGGACATTTAAAAAAAAAAAAAAAGAGCAAAAACAAAACCAAAACAAAACCAAAAAACCAAACCAAAACAAAAAAACCCCACCAAAAAAAAACAAAAAAAAAATCAACAAAAAAACCCCAAACACAGAAAAAAAAAAAACAAACCTCAATGTCTCTTTTTCTTTCTTTCTTTGTTTGTTTTTTGTACATACATGTTATAAATGCTATTAAAAATAAAGCCCCAGTTAAGTGCATGGCCCCAAGGGAGCACTTGCTGAGCCTGACCTTGGTTCGAGATGCTCCACAACGAGGACACCACGTCCTGTTTTAAGGCATTTCCAAGCCCCAGCAAAAGCAGACAGAGTTTTTTTGTTTTTTGTTTTTTTTTTTTTTGTTTAGCTGTTGGGTTGTTGTAATTTTTTTTTTTGCAGTGACCCCTGGCTTCGTTTCGAGTGGCATTTGAGAAAATTAGCAGCTTCCTCTGCACGTGCCCCCCTGTCCCTCTGGAGCTGGAGGATCCAGCCCTGTCTCAGCAATGCCCAGCTGGAAATTCCCCCCTTCTCAAAATTCACGGATTTGGGGGGGGTCTCACACCTCCCTCCCCCTTCCAGGGCACAGCAATCCCCACCAGGACCCAGGATTTATATACAGCAGCCACTTAAAATGTGGTTTTTGGCACACACACACACACACACACAGAGCAGTCTCTATCCCACAGAGGGCACAGCCCCCCCTCTGTGGAATATTTAACCCCTGGATTTGCAGAGGAATGTCACAGATTGGGGATAGGGAAGGTGGGGGGGGGGGGGGGGGGAGGGATAGTTTTCTTTCAATCAAATAAAAAGAAATAAAAAAGAAAACCCCGAGTGGTTTTTACACACGTTCTTCCCCTTTGTTCAGAGCTCACCCTGAGGAGAAGGCATTTGACCTTCTGTGGCTCAAAACCTGAGTGCCAAGAAACACCATTTTTAAAAGGTGTGCTGGAAGTTGGAAGGTAAAACTGCAAAACGATGGCACCTTGGGTATTAATTAACATTAATGATCCTTCAGGTTCGTCCTGTACACTCCACAAAGCTGGTTTTTACACAGAGCTGCCACCTCAGGGTGGGGAAGGGACGTGGATGCTCCACAGCATCATGAAATCCTTCCCATGGAGAAGGAACTCGAATGGAGAGGGTCGTTTCCTTCGGAGCTGGGATCCACTGGCTCTTCTCCTGCTCCCAGGAGATCCAAGGGCTGCAGGCAAAACGTGTGCTGGGTGACAGACACTCACAAACACGCACCATCCACTCACAAACACACGGACTGGCTTTGTCACTGGCACTAAAACATTTGCTTTCAAGGAAGAAAACACCTAAAAATCCCCTCCCGCCCCCCCCAAAACAGTCCAGTCCCGACTCCCATTCCCACTGGAGCTGTTCCTGCTGGGCTGGCAGCGTCCAGAGGAGCTTTGATCACGGCGTGGAAGACCCTGCACTGCCCTGGGCGTTGCAAAAAAACTTGAATCCAAGGTGGAAACTCCGAATTCTCTTCGTGGGAGAGGCTCCAGTGCCAGCTCTGCATTCCCAGGCTGGCAGAGCGTCCGAGGGCAAAGTCATGCCCCAGAGGCTGGAAAATGGACGTGGGTCATGGAAGGACACATCCAACAGGTCTTTTAAAAGCAAAGAGGGACCCAGTCCCTGTGCCCTCCCAGCCTGTTTGGTGGTGCTGGAAGAGGGGGGAGCACTTCCAGCCCTTGGAGAGGAGCTCCAAGTTATCCCCAGCGTGTGGGAGGGCAAGGCTTGGTGGGCAGAAGCTCTTGGGAAGAGCAGCCAAGGGCAAACAGGTGGTTGGGACACATCTGGATGAACACAAAGCGTGGAAATGAGGTTTCACAGCTGCTTCTGCACATGTCCAAGAGGAGGAGAAGGAGGAGGAGGAGGAGGAGGAGAACCAACAGAGAAAATCAACATTTCCCCCCCCAGCACCTCTCAGTCCAGCAAACAGTCATAAGACAACCAAAGAGCAATGCTTTCCTGCCTGCTCAGAGCAGGCCTTGGTCTCTCTTCCAGTGCATGGCATCCCTGATTTTAACAGAGCATGAAGGAGAAAAGCACTTGAGATTCTTACACACATAAATTAGAGCGAGAGGAAGGAGGGGGGGAGGAGGGAGGTCGGGTGAGTACAGGGCCAGGGGAAGGCTTGGCAGAGCCAGACCCCGAAGCAGGGGTGGCAATTGCCACCTCCCTGCTCAGCCAGCACTGCAGAGGGGACGTTGGGGCCAGGCAGTGAATCCATGAAGGCCACAGGTCTCGCCAGCACCAGCATCTTTTCCCCCCCGCGGGCACGGACGACAACCCAAGAACACAAGTGAGGAGGAGGGGGGGAAAAAAGCAACCCCCCCCCCAAAAAAAAAGAAGCTTCAAGTATGAAGAAGATTTACAACGTGATGGGCAAGTTCTTCTGTCACTTCTTGGAGACTTGGTTCAAGGTTTGTTCTTTGTTGCTGCTGTTTGATTCGAGTTCTGCCTGACCTGGATAGGCTGCAACCGAACGGATAACCCGAAAGAAAAAGGTGTCTCCTCCTCCCCTCCCTTTTTCCCCCCTCCCTCCCTCCTCCCCCCCCAAAAATATAAAAAGCAATAAGTTTACAAAAATAGAAAATAATTACAGCAATAGGCAGGAGGGAGGGAAGGAGGAGGGAGGGTCTCTGGGGGTCTATTTGGCCGAGCAGTGTAATATCCTGGGGTTGTTTAAAGCGTCCTCCACCAGGTGCAGTTCTTGGCGGTCCACAAGGACATCCCGTATGCAGCCAACGAAGCCAGTGCTGTAGGCCTTGGGCAGCTTGTGAGCCACACTCAGCTTCTCCAGCCCCCCTGCAGGAGACACACAGAGCTCAGGGCACGGGGCAGGGGACAGCCAGACTGTCCCCGGCAGTGTCACACCCCCCCACACACTGGGAATGTCTCAGGAGGGAACTAGGGGGGGATTTCTTCCTGGAAAAGGGTTGTTAAACACTGCCAGGGGCTGCCCAGGGAGGTGGTGGAATGCCCATCCCTGGAGGTGTTCAAGGGACAACTGGATGTGGCATCAGTGCTCTGGGCTGGATCCCAGGTGGGGATGGGTCCCAGGTTGGACTCGACCTCAGAGGTCTGTTCCAACCTCAGCCAGGCTGTGAATGTCTTCCCAAGAGCAGGGAGAAACCTCTTTCCTGGCTAATAGTAAATATGAATTCGTTAGTCAGTTAAATTAATTAGTTTTATGAAAATAAATAGTAGTTATCTTCACTTAGCTCAGTCGTGCCAGTTCCAACCATTGCCTGCAGGTTTCCTGAAGACACTTCAACCAGCAACTCGTTTCTATGGGTATTTCTATTCTCCAGCTATTTTTGTTCTAAAATACACATTTCAACTCAAAAGTTTCCTTTCCCTTGGGGATTGGTCCCAAATTCAAACTAAATTTTAGTTCAGTTACTGCAACATCAACTCTGGGCTCATTAAACAGGAAATACATTGGAATTAGGAGGGGCTGATTGCAAACACAACTTTTGGAGGGGCCAGTGGGGAAGCCAAGCAAAAATCTCTCATGGACTAATTCTGCTTTGCACATAAACTTCCAGGCTGATTTCAGAAGGAGAAATGGCCCCCAGGATCCTCTCTTTTTTCACAGGCAAGGCAACATTTTTGAATATGAACTCCTTGGGAGTCAGGTTAGACCTGAACTACAGGCTTAGACTGGGGAGATAAAAACAGATGCTTCCAAAAAGTGTAAATGGAATCTAAGTCCATTTTTCCCTGTCAGGGTGGGCAGGCCCTGGCACAGGTTGCCCAGAGAAGCTGTGGCTGCTCCATCCCTGGAGGTGTCCGAGGCCAGGTTGGACGGGGCTTGGAGCAACCTGGGACAGTGGAAGGTGTCCCTGCCCATGGCAGGGGTGGAATGAGATGAGCTTTAAGGTCCTTCCAACCCAAACCATTCTGTGATTCTGTGATTCTAATGCACTGTTTTTTTCCAGGCCAGCCAATGGGCACACTGTGCCATGGGAAGGACTGGCATTGGTGGGTAAAGCCAACCCCTCATCCCTCAGTGTCACCACCACCCTGCCCTGGTAAGCAGAGAACAAGCAGGGGAATTTTTAGGTCACCTGGGAGACAAAGGTGTTGTGTTGAAGCAAGGCAGGGAGCATCCCCACCCCATTCCACCTGTGAATCCCTCAGCAAGGGGCACAGGGGATGCTCACCCTGCCCACACCAACTCACCCAGCCACAGGGCCCCGTCTGTGTCCAGCTGGGTTGCACCAAGTGGAGAAGAACCAGCAATGGGAGCTTCGTTCCCAACCTGGAGGGAGCCTTCCCTCTGTACCCTGCTCCCAGAGGGAGGGAAGAAGGAACAGAAGATGATTAGAGGAAAAACCCAGAGGTGTTCTCTGCTTTGCACCAAACCCTGGCACTGGGCACCATCAGCCCTTCTCCAGCTGCAAAGGTGAGGGGAGCTGAGCCCTCCTCTCCCTCTGGCTGTGACACGGAGCAGTCCTTGCTCCAGTGCTCCCCTCCAGCATCCCCACAGCCTCCCACAGCCCCACCACCAGCCCTGCCAGCGGGCACAGCTCCCTCCAGAGCCACCAGCAGCAATCCCTGGCACGCCAGGCACGTGATCCTCACCCCTCCCACCACCACCAAAAATAACGAGGGGCAGCTCGGGCTCAACGCGGCCAGAATGTCAAACCCTCAAATAAAAGGCACAGACCTCCCAGGCCGCCTTGTTCCTGCCCCTCTGACATTTCCAGGCGTGCCCCAACACGCTGCCCTCCGCAGGGCACTGCCCACATGCCTCTCCTCTATTATTATCCGGGAGCAGGAGCGATCCTTGGGGATCACGGGGCGCCGTGACTCAGCTCGCCCGTCCCACTCCCGGCTTTTCCCTCCCTCCAGCCTTCCCACCTGTAGGCTTTGATGTGGATCCACTGGTTGGTGTTGACTGGGACCGTGGATCTGAGGATGACTGGCTTGGAGCCCAGGTCGTAGGTCATCTGCACGAACCCATCCACGATGGCCAGGGCGATGTAGTCCGAGCGCTCCAGCCCCTTCCCGCTCCACAGGATCAGCCCCTGTGTGGCCTCTGTTTTGATGCTCAGCTCGAAGTGGTTGGACTGCAGGGCCTTCTCACTGCGTGGGGAGATGGGGGCAGAGTTAAAAACAAGGCAGCTCCTTGGAGCAGCCTTCTCTTCCCAGCCAGCTGGCTCAACTGCTGGGAGAACCTCCAGCCAGCTCCTGGCATCAGGCTACATGTGGGGTCTGTCCCTGCCTGAGGGATTGGCAGACTTTGGAATGTCAGAATGCCTGGGGTCTGTCCCTACTTGAGGGGGTCACACACTTTGGGATATCAGAATGCCTGGGGTCTGTCCCTGCCTGAGGGGTTGGCAGACTTTGGGATATCAGATTGCCTGGGGTCTGTCCCTGCCTGAGGGGTCACAGATTTTGGGATATCAGAAAGCCTGGTGCCTGGGGTGGGAGCAGATGGGAACCTCTAAACCAGGCCAGAGGATCAAAGGAATGGCCCTCAAGGTCTCTAACCCAGCTCCCATTCAAAGCAGGACTCAGAGCCTGGGCTCTGCCCAGCTGAGCTTGGGAACACCAAGCCTGGAGCTCCTCCATCCTCCTGCTGATCTGAGCAGGGCCTGCACAGTTCTCCTGGTGTTTTTTCCCCACTATCCAGCTTGAACCTCCAAAGCCACAGGGCTCCTGCTCCTTCCTTTTGCCTCCCAGGAGCACAGAGAGCAGGCACATCAGTCCCTGCAGGCTGTGACACACCAGCCTTGCTCCCCAGGGCTGGGGACTGTGACAGGCTGAGCAGTTTGAAGGGGAGGAAGGCTGCCCACAGAGGCAGCAAAGCCTTCCTTCTCCTACATGAGGTGTCTTTTTCCCAAGGGAGGAATGAAGGAAGGACAGGATTTCCTCCACACTGGCATCCCCATCTCTGCTCAGTCCCTTTTGGAATGGGCACAAGGCTCTTGGCAACAGCTGAGGATGCCCTGTGGGGTGGCCACAGGGATGCTGGACAACATGGACAACACAGACAGCTTTTTATTCCCAAGGGACACTGCACCCAAAGGGCTGGTCGAGGCTCTGCATGAAGCCTGAGGTACTGCCAGGGTACCTCAGCCTGTCCCCTGCTGCCACCCCTGGAGTGCTGTGTCCAGTTCTGGGCCCTCAGCTCAGGAAGGACATTGAGGGGCTGGAGCAGGTCCAGAGAAGAGCAACGAGGCTGGGGAAGGGACTGGAGCACAAGTGCTGTGAGGAGAGGCTGAGGGAGCTGGGGCTGTTCAGCCTGGAGAAGAGGAGGCTCAGGGGAGACCTCCTCACTCTCTGCAACTCCCTGACAGGAGGGGGGAGCCGGGGGGGGGTTGGTCTCTTTTCCCAGGCAACCATCAGCAAGACAAGAGGGCTCGGTCTTCAGCTGTGCCAGGGGAGGTTTAGGTTGGATCTTAGGAAGAATTTCTTTGCAGAGAGGGTGCTCAGCCATTGGAATGGGCTGCCCAGGGAAGTGGTGGATTCTCCGTCCCTGGAGGTTTTTAAGCTGAGACTGGATGTGGCATCAGTGCCATGGGCTGGGAACCACAGTGGGGTTGGATCAAGGGTTGCACTTGATGATCTCGGAGGTCCCTTCCAACCCAGCTGATTCTGTGATTCTATGATCCTGGGCTGGAGGGTCGGGGCTCCCTCCCTGTTTGTTCCCCCTCTGCAGAGCTGTATCCCTCACAAATAAAAAGCCAAGGACCTGGGCACACAGGACACACACAGGGAGACACAGACATGCTGAGGCAGCGACAGCAGAGCACGAGACACGAGAGCACAAAGCCTGGCTCACTCACCTGGGCTCCACGGGATAGTCCAGCGCCTCGGGACTCAGGTGGGGGAAGAAAGGGGAGCGTGCCATAAGCAGGGGGCAGCAGAGGAGACCCTTCCCTTCCCTCCCACCCCCCTGGCACACAGGGAACAGCCCCTGCTCAGCACCAGCAGCTCTTCATCCTACACAGAACCTGCCCAGCGTGAGTGGGGAGCGCCAGGAACCGTCCTGGGGGTGGATGAGTCGCCTCCAACACGTTTGGAAGTGGTGGCTTAGCCAGGGGGGAGCAGGATAATGGCAAGGAGGGAATCCAGCCCTGTGCTGGTGGGGATGCTCCAATGTGCTCCTTGGGTCTGGAGCACAGCTCTCTGAGGGGTGGTGGAGGGAGCTGGGGGGGCTCAGCCTGGAGAAAAGGAGGCTCAGAAGGGACCTTCTCACTCTCTACAACTCCCTGACAGGAGAGGGGAGCTGGGTGGGGGTCAGGGTCAGTCCCTTCTCCCAGGGAACAAGCGACAGGATGAGAGGAAACGGCTCAAGTTGCACCAGCAGAGGTTTAGTTTGGATTTTAGGGAAAATTTCTTCACTGAAAACATGGTCAAGCTTTGGAACAGGCTGCCCAGGGCAGTGGTGGAATCATCACGCCCTGGAAGTGCTCAAAAAACGTGCTGATGTGGCACCTGGGGACGTGGTTTAGTGCTGCTGGGTTTAAAGCTGGATTTCATGATTTTAGAAGGCTTTTCCAACCTCAATGATCCCATGATTCCGTGACTGTCAGTGTTCCTGGTGCTCACCCACACTGCTGGGGTGTGGATCCCAGGGACACACTGCTGGGGGAAGGGAGCTTTGGGTCCCTGGCCCTGCACAAGGACCCTTCCCTGCAGGAATTCTCTTGGATTCACAAAATCACTCGGGTTGGGAAAGCCCTCCAAGATCATCCAGCACAGAGCTCACCACTAAACCACATCCTCGAGTGCCACATCCACACATTTTTGGAACACTTCCAGGGGAGGTGCCTCCACCACTGCCCTGGGCAGCCTGTGCCAATGCCTGACCACCCTTCCAGTGGAGAAACCTTCCCTGATATCCAACCTAAACCTCCCCTTGAGGCAACTTGAGGCCGTGTCCTCTCGTCCTGTCTTTGGGGTGTTGGAGAACAGGCTCCCATGGAGTGGAACTGTCACACACAGCCTCTGAGTCAGCCTTGGGGCACTTGGAGAACAGGGTGTGCGTGGAGAAGGGGAAATCCAGGAGTCCAGCTGTCCCTCTGGCACTGCAGGTCCCGTGCTACATTCAGCTCCAGCTACATGTATGGATAAAAATGGATGTGCCAGTAAAAAAGGTATGGGCATGTCACGGCCAGTAGAGCCCGGAGAAGCACTGGCAGTGTCAGTCCTGCCCAGGGCACACCCCAGTGTCTGCCTGGAGGCACAAAAAACCCCTACTTTTATGGGTCCCTCAGCCTGGCAAGGCTGGCGAGGGCGGTGGCCACATCCCAGCAGAGGAATATGGGGAGAAACACTAAAGCTCCCTCTCAGGATGGGGCATGCACAGCCAAAATAGGCTGGGCCAGGCAGGGAGAAGGCTGGGAATGGTGGCCTTCCCTTTGCAGAGCACTGGGAAAGGCAGGACACCTTCTGCTCATGGCTCTGGGGGTGCAGAGGGACAGCGGGGCACTGGTGTGGGTCACTAGAGGCTCTCACTGCTGGAGAGCACTGCCCAGCTCAGGAGGATACTTAGGATGCTCCTGAAAAGCCCTTTCTAAACCCAGGGCACCTCCCCAAGTGCTGTGAACATGCAGGTGATGGCTCTGTGGCTCCCCAGGCACTGACACACATGCACACAACAGCTCAGCCCCCCAAGCCCTGCCTGAGCCCAGCTGGGAGAAAATGAGGTGAGATGGGGATGGGACAGGCAGGAATCTCTCCAGCTCTCCCCCAGACACCTGGGAATAGATCTGCATGGAGCAGGGCTTCCATTCCACCCCTGGTGCTCAGCAGGACAGACAGACAAGACAGCAAATCACAGCTGCCAGGGCTGCTCTAGGGAAGAAGTTTCTGCCCATTCACCTGCCCAGACCCTTCTTCTGACCCCCTGTCTCCACTGCATCTTCTGAGGGGCTCCCAGGCCCCACACTCTGGCTGGGGAACATCCTCCCAGTGCCCTGTCTGGCCTCCCCTCTAGAGCAGCAATGCCCCATCCATGGTGGAAGAAACCAGAGCAGGATCAGCACCCTGGATTTCCATCGGCTGCTGGTGGAACAGTGACTCACAGGAACCTTCCTCCTCTGTGCCCAGCCTCAAACTGTGCTTAAAGAACTCTGCTGAACTTAAAAAAAAATCATGCTTAAAAATGAAACTATGGAGAGCTGGGACAACATCTGGCTGTGGCAGAGCCAGGACAACATCTGGCTGTGGCAGAGCCGGGTTGTGCAGCTCCTGCTGCACCGTGTCTGGGCACCAAGAGCTGTGGTCAGTCCCTGAGTCCTCCTCCCCCCAGAATGGGAACACCTGCCTGTGGCAGACCCGGGGAGAGGGCCCAAATTCCTCCCCCCATCCCTGCCCTGTGCTCCCCCACGGGTGGGCTGAGGTTGGGGTGTCAATGGTGAGGGCAGAGGGGAGCAGGGGGGGCTGTACTTACGCAGGGATCTCATTGCCCAGGTGGCTTGAAAACAAAGAAACAGGGACATTGAGAAGGGACAGACAGACAGAGAGACTGACAGACAACAGCTCAGCACGGACACCCTCCCAGGCAGGGTGTTAGGACACAGAGAAGCTGAGGGTGTGACGGGCAGATGGGTGAAGTCTCATCCAACACCCTCTCCCAGTTGCTCTGGAGCTGGGAATTAACCACAGGGACACAGTGGTGAGGAAGGAAGGGCACTGAGCCAGGCCACAGTGGAACCAGAGGGTCCTGAAGGAGAAACATCCAGCCCAGGGGCTGTGCAGGACCTCAGGCAGCAGCTCTGCCCACCCTGAGAGAGCAGCCCCAGGGAGCAGCATAGCCACAGACACCATGGGGTGCACCCCAGCACGGGGCTGGGCAGAGCCTGGAGGAGGTCAGACAGGTCCCACAGCAGGGATGGTCCATCTGTGCTGGCAGAACGACCCTTGTGGCACAAACAGGCAGGGACACAAAGGATGCAGCTCCATCCCACCCCCAGAGCAGGCTGTGCTGACCCAGGTGCCCCACACCCAGCCAGACCTGAAGCTGGCCAGGCACTGCTGGTTTGGGGCAAACCCTCTGCCAGCAAGGCAACTTTAGAGGTGAGGGCTGGAATTGGCTGCTCAGAGCCCCAGTTTGGTTTGCTTCCCTTTGGAATTCCTTGATCCCAGCTCTTCTTCCTGCTGTTGGCCCTATTTCCTCATTCAGAGCTCGGTTCAGCCCAGCAGCCCAGTTACCTCTTGGTGACAGCATTGTGGTACTCCATGTATGTCCTGCCATCAAAGGCAATGGCCTCTGCATCCCCAGCAGCCTTCTCGATGATCACTGGGGGTGGGAAAGACAAGAGCTGTCAGGATCCACCCCTGGAGACCAGGAAAATCCCCCTTTACACTGAGCATCCCTAAGAGGATGAAGGCAAGCACCAACCTGCCACCCCCTGGGGCGTGTCAGCCCCGTGCCACTCCAAGTAAGCCCCTGGAGAGGTTTGCTGTGGCTTTAGGGTCTGGAATTTTGGGACCATCTCCCCGTTTTGCAGCCAACAGTCATCAATTGTCAGTCAAATTTAAACTGAAATTTCAGTTTGATGGCTTCAAACTTAATAATAAAGAGGGAAGGTTTAGATTAGATATTAGAAAGAAATTCTTGGCTGTGAGGGCGAGCAGGCCCTGGCACAGGTTGCCCAGAGAAGCTGTGGCTGCCCCTGGATCCCTGGGAGTGTCCAAGGCCAGGTTGGAGCAGCTTGGGCTAGGGGAAGGTTCTCCTGCCCATGGAAAATGAGATGATTTTTAAGGTCCCTTCCAACACAAAACATTCCAGGACTCTACGAAGAACGAGATCTCCTGCACTGTCCTGCTGCCACCAGCCGTGTCTGGTAGTGTGGGTGAGGGTCCACACCCAGCCCACCCTGGCCCCTCACCTTTCTCACAGTGGGCCCCGTGGAAGCCCCTCTGGCAGGCACACTCGTAGCTCTCCAGCCTGGGGCTGCAGGTGCCCCCGTTCTGGCAGGGGTTGGGTTTCTGGGTGCAGGGGTGGCCCCGGAAGGGCGAGATCTCGATGGCGCTGCGGATGTTCTGCTCCGTCAGCAGGGGATCCCCCTTGATGGAGATCTGGCACGTGCAGGCAGGAGGAAACACAGGAGTTATGTTATCCAGGAGGTGGGGAGGCCCTGGCACAGGTTTGCCCAGAGAAGCTGCGGCTGCTTCATCCCCTGGGAGTGTCCAAGGCTGGGTTGGAGCAAGCTGGGCTAGTGGGAGGTGTCCCTGCCTGTGGCAAGGGGTGGAATGGGATGGGCTTTAAGGTCTCTTCCAGCCCAAACCATTCCATGATTCTGTGGTGATCCTCCACCACCCCATCTCTCTGCCATGGGGGGACAGAGGGCAGTGTCCTTGGGGATAAGGGGAGATGGGAACCAGCCCCAAGCCCCACATGTTCCTCTGACACACCTTTGCCTCCCCTCCTGCCACTTTTCCAGCAGGGGTGCTCCCCGTGGGCCCACAGGCCCATTGCCATGTTCCTCCTCACTCCCCTCCAGCAGTACCAGGGCAGATGTCACATCTCCCAGCTGGACACTGGGCTGCCCAGCAGGACCTTACCCTCTGCACGGCCCCCTCGAAGCTGGTGGAGATGGCAGCTGCTCGAGCCAGCTTGCTGAAATCAGGGGCTCCTCCAACGTAAAACGGCTCCTTCAGGTTCAGGTAGGTGTGAGGCACCTGGGGAGGAGAGGGGAGATGATGGAGATGATGTCAGGATATCCCTGGGTGTCCCGTGCAGGCCCAGGAGTTGCCCTCGATGAGCCCTGTGGGTCCCTTCCAATGTAGGATGTTCTCTGATTCTACGAAAGGGGCCTCCAGGAAACCTCCTCATGCCAAGCTGCGAGGTCCCACCCACCAGCAGGCACCTAGAAAAGGTTCTCTGGGGGTTTAATTTTGGGGAGATGCTGTTCTAATGCTCTCAGGCATGGAGGGGGGGGGGTCTGGTTTTGCGTGATCCCCCAAAACCAAGTAACCAAATATCAAAGTCTCTCTGGGGGTGATGTTCAAACCCAAATGGGTTCCAGAAGGATTCAGGAACCTGAACTGGGTTCCTCTGGCTGCTACAGGTTGCCATGGCTAGAGGAGGTTCTCCTGAATCCCACATGGTGTGTGTTTGGAGGAGAAATCTCCCTCCTTGCTGTCACCCTGCAGTCCCATCTGCCCAGCCTGGAAAATCCCAGGAGAGTCTCCAACTGCAGGGTTCTCCAAGCAGGAATGATGTCCCTTCCTGGGCACCTGGGATGGAGCCAGGGGCACAGCAGAGATGGGGTTATATGGATCACTAGCTAATGCTTCGTGGAGTTAAAAAAATGATCAGATTAATTGAAATGCTTCCAGAACAAAATGCAACAACTGGCTGGGGATGAATGATGGAAGAGGAAACAAGTGTCTCTAATCTAGAGATCCTAAAGCTGCTCGGTCAGATGGGAGGGGGAGTGGGTGAAACACTGGGATCTGGATGGAGGTGCCAATGGCAGATGAGATGGAGGTGTGTGGTGGTTCATACTTATCTTTACCTTACGGGATTTCTGGGATCCAGAGACAGCAGGGGAGGGAAAAATACAAATGGAAATCAAAGGGAGAGAGAAAAAGAGAGAGAGAGAAAGGGAGATCAGTGGGTGACATTGCAACATGCAGGGCCACAAGACCCCCGCTGCCACCAGTGCTGGGGTAGCCAGGGAGGGGAAGGGGGGTTGCAGAAGGTGACAGGAGGGTCCCTGCCACCCAGGGGTGAGCTGTGCTGGGAGAGAAGCTTGAGAAGAGCAGAGCGAGGGGAGGAAGAAATCTCTTCTTTTCCAGGAATGCTGTGTAATCCTGGTGCTGCACTTCTAGGTGGATCTTACAGATGGGTTCAGCAGCAATCAGGGCTTTTCCTGCAGTATCAGCTCCCCAGCTGGAAAGGGGGGGGTTAAAGGAACCCCAGGGGTCTGCAGACAGAAGTGCAGAGGGACAGGGGATGGGGAGAAGTTGGAGGGGGAAGCTGCCAGCTGGGAAACAAAGAGGAGGCACTGATGGATTCAGCAGCAGCAGTGCCAAGGGGCTTTCCCTGCTCCGTGACCTCCTCCTGGCTGAGCTCTCTGTGCTGGGGGGGCTCTTGAGCCCCCACCATGGAGGGCACAGGCTCAAAGTCACTGGTAGCACAGGTGCCTCATGTACCTGCCCCGATCCAGGGACAGTCGAGGATCTGAAATAAAGAGTGGGAAGGTGGATGTGTGTGAGGGGGCTCAAAGGCATTCCTGAAACCTGGCAGGGGCTCTGCAGCCCTGTGTGCAGGGCACAGGGAGGCAGCAAGGGCTGGGAGAGGTGTGCAGGGAGACAGGCACGCTCTGCCTGCAGCATCCTCCCCTCCCCAGGGCCTGCCCGCTCCTCCTCCACCCCTGAAGCCGTGTGTGCCACAGGGATTAAAAAAGCCCAGGAGCCTGGGGAATCCTCAGCTCGTTCCACACGTGACAGGAGCAGGGCTGGAAGCCCAGAGAGCCCCTCCTGAGCCACCAACTCACCGGTGACTCCCCCATCACCCTCTCGCCGTTGTTGATCCTCATGACCCCCTTGCGCCCGTTCCTCTCCAGCAGGACACTCGTCCAGGTGTTGAGGGGAACCGGCTCCTTGCTCCTGGGTGGCGAGAAGGGGGGAGAAGACACACAGGTGAGAGCTCTGCCATCAGCAGAGCGCTGAGAAACCTCCCCTGAGCAGCCCGGGCTGGGCCCCCTCACCTGAGCACGGCTGCCCCCTTGCCCAGGTCGTATCTGTACTCCAGGTACCCGTCGTGCAAGGCCAGGGACACAAAGTCCCCCTTGCCATCTGTCTTCTGGCCGTTGTAGAAGATCATTCCACTGGGGTTCTTGGCCAGGAACACAACTTCCATGGACATTTTCTCCCTGAGGAGAGAAGGGTTATGGATAACCCTCCAACCCAGCAGCCCCTCGCGCTCTCTTCCTCCACCCCCACGCACTGAGCCCTTGGAATAACTCTGCCTGCCCAGGGCTACGGGATGGGCAGAGAGATGCCACCCCTGCAAGGCACCCTGGGTGGGTGAGAGGCACACCTGCCGTGCTCAGGATGCTGCTCTGTGGTGTTTCTTTACCCACCAGGCAGGTGATGCCCTCACAGGCCCCCATCCCGTCCCCTGGCACTTACTGCAGGTCAGGAACGAAGGTCTGCAGCCCGTTCAGCTCCAGGTAGGAGAAGCCATTGAACTCCGGGAGGAAGGGCATGGTGTGGTCCTGCTCTGTCACTGGGCACAAACGAGGGGATGGTGAGGGAGAGGAGGCAGAGCAGCTTCAGCCAGTGCCCCAGAGCCACAGTGGGCGAGGCCACCGCCCGGGCCGGGCACGTTGAGCTCCATCCACCCCCTGCCCCCAGCCCCGCTCCTCCGCCGGCTCCCACCTCGCTCGCAGAAGTCTCCTTCCCGGCCCATGGGGCAGGCACACAGGGCACCCCCCTCGGGCAGCACCAGGCAGGTGGCAGAGACGTGGCAGGGTGAGGGCTCACAGGGGTTCCTCTCGTCGGCACACGTGGGCCCTGCGGGCAGGACAGGCAGCGTCACCCCCACGCCACAGACCGACAGCCCAACGTCCCTGCTGCCCCCTGATCCCCCCCAGCCTCTGGCTCGGGCTGGGCTCCCACGACCCAGGAAGCCCCCACAGCTGGCAGGTGATGCCCTTGGCTGGCTACGCCCCTAAAATGCGAGGGGATGTGCACGAGAACCAACAGGTCCTGGCCCTTCTGTGCATGTGAACAGGGATATATCCCAGACCTACTGACCTCACTGCAGGAGGCTTCATCCTCCACTTCTCCCTCTGTCCCACTGCTGACACTCCCCTCCCCACTGTGCTGATCCCACAGGCTCTGGGATCCCAAAGGACTACCCGGCAGGATGAGAAGTCCAGTCATGCCCTGCCTGCAGCCCCCTCCCCACTCTGATGATCCCAGAGGCTCTGGGATCCCACAAGGATAAGGAGCCCAGCCCTGCCCTGCCTGCAGCCCCCTCCCTACTCTGATGACTTCAGAGGCTCCGGGATCCCACAGGATCACCCTGCAGGATTAGGAGCCCAGCCCTGTCCTGCCTACAGCTCCCTCCCCACTGTGATGATCCCAGAGGCTCTAGGATTGCTCAGGACCATCCAGCAGGATGAGAAGCCCAGTCACATCCTGCCTGCAGCCCCCTCCCTACTCTGATGATCCCATAGGCTCTGGGATCCCACAGAACCATCCAGCAGGATTAGGAGCCTAGCCCTGCCCTGCCTGCAGCCCCCTCCCTATTCTGATGATCCCAGAGGCTCTGGGATCCCACAGGACCACCCAGCAGGACGAGGAGCCTGCAGCCCCCTCCCCGTACCGGTGTAGGTGTGGAGGCACTCGCAGTGGAACATCTCTGCCTCCTTGACGTGGCAGATGCCCCCGTGGTGGCAGGGGTTGGGGTGGCAGGGGTCGTTGCCACACTCGCCCACCCCGCTGCCGTAGAGGACGTCGCTGCCCTTCTCCCGCAGGTCGTACATCTGGTTGTTCACGTCCAGGAGGCGGATGCAGCCCTTGAGCCCCGTGGTGGCCGTGGTGTGATCTGCCACCCTGAGGGGACAGAGCACGGGGTCACTGGGGCCTTTGGTAACTCCAAGCACGTGGGTCAGGCCGTGCTCCCCCACAGGGCACAGATCACAGAATGGTTTAGGTTGGAAAAGAGCTCTGAGATCATCGAGTCCAATCTGTGCCTGATCATCCCCACCTTGTCCCCCAGCCCAGAGCACTGAGGGCCACGACCAGGACACCTCCAGGGATGGGGACTCCATCACCCCCCTGGGCAGCCCCTTCCGATGCCTGACCACCTTTTCTGCGAAGAAATTCCTCCTGATGTCCAACCTGAATCTCCTCTGGTGCAGCTCGAGGCTGTTCCCTCTCCTCCTGTCCTTTGTGCCCTGGGAGCAGAGCCCGACACCCCCCCGCCTCCCCCCTCCTGTCAGGGAGTTGCAGAGAGCCAAAAGGTCCCCCCTGAGCCTCCTTTTCTCCAGGTTGAGCCCCCCCAGCTCCTCACAGGACACTCCAGCCCCTTCCCCAGCTCCATTCCCTTCCCTGGACTCACTCCAGCCCCGCAATGTCTCTCTTCCAGCGAGGGGCCCAAAACCAGACACAGCCCTGGAGGTGCCTCACCAACACAGACGGATGATCACTTAAGAAGCCCCTCCACCCCCCATGAAGCAGTGGCAGGTGCTGTGACCCGGGGACAGCCCCCAGCCCCTCACTCACACGGCCATCTGGTCATCGGGCACTCCCCCAATGAACAGGTCGGTGTCCAGGTTGAGCCCGTCGGTGCCCGGGGGGCTCTCCCCGCTCACGTGGGGCTCCCCATCCACGGAGAGCATCCCACTGCGCCGGTTCCTGTTCACCACCAGCTGGTGCCACTTGCCAGGCTCCACACGGACCTTGCTGGTGATGACGCCCGTGCCAGAGCCCGTGTTGAACCTGCAGGAGAAAAGAGGGGTGGGGGAGAGGGCCGTGTTTGTGTCATCCTGCAGAAAGGTGATATCTGCCCAGGGAGAAGCTGGGAGCACTTGGGAGACCCCCCCTCCCTGCCCACCTCTGTGCCAGGCTGCCCTCAGAGCACACTCAGCCCACCCCCCCTGAGCATCAGGACTGCCTGAGGACTCATCTCCTCCACCTCACCTCATTCCAAATCTGTCCCTTTGGCTTTTGGAATGGGGGAAAAAAAAAAAAAAGAAAAAAAAGAGTCATTCAAGCTCAGATTTCTGAGGCCTTTCTCCCTTTCCTTTTTTTTCCACCTGTGTTTCTTTTCTCGGTACGAAAAAAAAAAAGAAAAAAAAGACCTCTCGCTCGCCCCAAAAAAAATCAACCTCCCACACCTTCCAGCTTTTCAAAATTCAAACTGAAATCACTGAATTAACTTTGCTGAAAAGTGCCAGAGGGAGGGAAGGAGCTCCCTATCACATCCAAAAAAAAAAAAAACCCTTCTCCTCTCCTCATCTCTTTGATTCCGGGTCTCTCAGAACGCGAGTCCAAGCCTTGCATCCTCCTGAGGTTCTCCAAGCACTGCTCTGGCTGGAGCAGCCCACCTTCCTCCCCACCACCTGGGGCTGGGAGGGCACTCACCTGAGCTCCACGAAGCCGCCCACCAGGGCCAGGGAGATGAAGTCCTTGCCCCGGTTCTGGCCGTTGTAGAGCAGCAGCCCCCCGAGCTCCAGGGTGCGGAACTCCAGGGCGATGCGCACCGTGTGATACGCCTTCATCATCTTGAACGCCAGGTAGGACTTGCCCCCGAAGCTGGGGATGAAGTACCTGATAGCTGCAAGAGCCAGGAGAGGAATGAAGAGGGGACAGAAGGACACAGAGCCTGACATGAGCCCAGGAATGTTTTCGACCTGTCCGGACACGGAGCTCTTGGGAAAGGGCGGAGAGAAGCTGGTTGTCTCCTCTGAGCCCACGCTCACCCCGTCACCACCTCCCAGACACTCACACTGGTACCCAAAACCCCTCCTGTGATGCCATTCCCCCCAAAGATTGCTCCCAGGCTTTAAAGATCTGGGGTGTTGCTCCCCCAACCAGCTCCTCCCAGTTAAAAACCAGTGCTGCTGGTCCTTTCCATGTCCCTGTGCCATCAGCCGAGCTCTGCTGCACACACAGCTCCTCGTAACTCAGCTTCCCTGCTCCTTAGATAATTTTTATCTCTCCTCCCAGAATCCCACATGACAGATTTACATTCATCACTCCAGGCTTTTGTTCATCGTGGCTGAGGTTTTCCAAGGGATCTGAGAGGCCAAGCCCTATTAAAATGAACAGGGCTGGACACCCACAGCTTGGAGCGCTCCAGATTATGGCTTTAGGGACAAAGCTTTTCAGGAATAAGCACTCCCAGCCACCCAGAGTCCCCAGCATGACCCCAAACTGCCAGTGGGGGCTCCCAGTAAATAACAGCAGCTCTGGGTAAGCGTGCTGCCAGTCTCCAGCTGCTTGTTAAGCTGCTCCAAGCACTGGGAAATAGAGGCTGGATTATCAGAACACATCTCCCCGGGGCTGGAGAGGATGGTCAGTGCCTGGCTGTGTCACACTGGCAGTCAGGAGCTGTGAGGGGCAGTGCCACGAGCTGAGCTAACACAGCAGCAGCTCCCAGTCCCCCGGTGCTTCGGGGCACTGCTGGATCAGGAGCGGAGCCAGGAGGAAATCACTCCTGGCACCTCGCAGCCTTTTACAATGAATAGCACATGTACAACCTGCTGTGGCAGAGCTGAGATTACAGCCCATTAAACCAGCCCCTGCAGTGCCAGTGCCAATTCCGGGGCCAGGTTTGAACGTCCCCCCCATCCCTCCATCACCAGCCAATGCGTTCGCTGGAGTCGCCCGACGGGGGACGTTCCCGCTCCAGGCCAGGTTGGACGGGGCTTGGAGCAACCTGGGATGGTGGGGGGTGAGCTCAGAGGTCCCTCCCCACCCCACTCTGGGATGCTGAAACCCAGCAAGAGTTCTGAGATGCTGGAATTCTGTTCTGAGGGGATGTTACAGACCCTCGCTCTGAGCAATAAAACATTAGTGTTAAAGGGACAAGGGGTACCCTGCTCCAGAGCTCTGCCTACAGATGTTCTGCACCAATGAAAAGATAACAGAGAGGACAACTTAGCAGTCATGAATTAGACAGAATGGACATCCAGGGAGATAAGCAAGCTGAAGCGGAGGGGGGTTCACAAGCTCCCAGTACATAGTCAGGAAAAGCTCATGACAAAGAGGACCCTCTTGAGGCTGAAGGACTGGAAAGACCACCAGAGGACTCCCTAAAAGGACAGCCCCATCTCAAGCTCTGCCTAGACCCTGCCTATTATGAATATGATAATTAGATTGTGAAATTAAATGAATATGTATGTATAGATGTTGTAATCACTCATAAAAACTGTATAAATTACCCGGCTTTTCACTGAGAACTTCAGAGAGAGTTTGTCCAGCACGAGCTGGCTACACTCCCTCAACGTTGCTCAAAACAAATACCTTTGCTGCTTAAAGACTCAAAACTGTCCCCGAGCAGCCTCATTTCTGCCAATTTTGGCACCAATGCTGTGGTGGGTGGGTGGGGCACTCACTTTTCTCACAGACGGCCCCTCCCTTGCCCGCGGGGCAGCTGCAGGTGAACTCCTCGCCGTCGTCCTCGCAGGTGCCCCCGTGCAGGCAGGGGTGGGAGTCGCAGGGCCGGGGGGGTCTCCTGGTGACAGGGGGCTGCCGGGTGGGCTTCCTGCGGGTGCTGGCAGCTGGCAGGAAGGTGGGAGGGCTGGGCCTCCTGGTGCTCCCGGCGGCGCCGTCGGGGCGCTGCCCGCGGGCCGTGGTGACGGCGGCGGCCGTGGTGGCCCTGCGGGTGGTGGCCGGGGCCATGGTGGTGGCCGTGGTGGTGGTGATGGTGGTGGTGAAGAGCCTGGGGATCCAGTCTGGAAGAGCAAAGGGCGGGGAGGAGTTAGTGCTTCGCAGCCCTCTCCGGAGCAGGGGAGGCCACGCTCCCACATGCCACGTGTCTTCCCTGGAAAATCACTGTTCCGGGTTTATCAGGATGGACAAGGCCTGGCCACCACTTCAGGAGCACCAGGACAGGCTCCCTTTCCACTGCCACTTCCCCACGGTGCAGCAGTTGCCATGTGCCAATGAAAAAGTGGGACAATTCTACCTCCTGAGTGAAAACCAAGCCTGGGCACACGGATTTTACTCAGAGGTCCTGGCACAGGTTGCCCAGAGAAGCTGTAGGCCAGGTTGGACAAGCCTTGGGGTTGGGTCCACCGTGGCAGGGGAGGTGGAATGAGATGAGCTTCAAGATCCCTTCCAAAACATCCCATGATTCCCTGATTCTGCACCACCCTCTGCACCCTGGCACTGCCTGGGGGAGCTTTTGATGGGTTACTGCTACAGACAAAAAGCCCTGGCAAGAGCAGAAGAGCCACCCTGCCCATCTGAAAGCCTAATCCAAGCGAGGGGGGGGCCGGCCACAGACAGAGGGGACTCACCAAAATCCATGAATTTGACATGCTCCTGCTGGGGCTTCTTCACCAGGATGGTCTTCTTCTTGGAAGCTTTGATCTGCTTCAGCAGGGCCGCTTGGATATCAGCTGCAGTGTAGGACGTGGCTGCTCACAGCCAGGAGGAGGAAGGAGAAAAGGAGCAGTGAAGATACAATCCCACCCAGCAGCTCCTCTCCCACAGAGCATCCAAATTTGCTCCTTTCCCAAGGAAAACGCTTCCAGCCCTCCAGGCACCAGCTTAGGGCTCACCCCCTCCCAGCTCTGTTGGTTTTGCTGGGCAGAAGACATGACCCTGGCAAATTTTAGGAAGGTTCTTTCCTTCTCCTTGCCACAAATGTGTTTCTCCAGTCGGCATTCCCGGTGGGAATGCCTGCTGCCTCCCTGGGCAGGTGGGGGTGCCACAGGGAATGCTCCTACCTGGGTCAAAGTGGGACTCCACGAAGACACGGACGGCGCTGCTCTGCCCCAGGTCCCGCACTCGGATGCTCTTGAAATCCTTCTTGACGTCAGAACTGCGGAAAAGCTCGTCCAGCTGCTCGGTGGGAGGTGGAGGAGAAAAGGGAACAACCTGGTTAACGGGGAGATCCTGGGGAATGGATCTTTCCAGGGAAAGATCTGGAGCCTCAGACGGTCTCCTTGGTTTCAACCCACAGGGGTTTGCATCCAACCCTTTGCAAGACACCCCACAGAGGACAGGGCTCTGCTGTGCTGGGTGACAATTCCAGATGGTCCCTATTCTTTAAGGTAAGGACAGGACCCATAAATAATGTGGGACACACCGTGGTACCTGTGAGGAGGAGCAGAACAGAGCCAGAGCAGAGACACCTTGTGCAGCTCATCCAGGGATTTTCTATTGTGTGGCATCTAAGTCTTCCTGATCTCTTCTAAAGCTGTGTAAACCTGCTTAGGCACTTTGGAAAATCCCATAAAGCCCTATTCTGCATCTTTAAGTACCTGCCTGCCTTTTAAAACTTGGCTCTTGGATACTGCAGGATTTGTCTGAAGTCACATGAAGGAGACAGTGGCAGTGCAAGGCTCACAGCAAGTCAGGGCTGTAACACCCCTGCCAGCTGTCTGTCCAGGCTGGTCTGTCCACCAATTCCTTCCCCTGGCTTCCAGGTAAAGAGAGAAGACAGTAATTAACTGATAAATGGTCCCATGGTACAGTCTCCCCCTTTAAATTTGGAATAGTGAGCAAAGGAGTGAAGGAGCACATCACATCCCCAGGCAGGCTGCACAGGGAACAGGTCTCTGCAGCACAGGGCTGTGGCAGGAGCTCTCAGCCCAGCCACAGATGCCTTTTGTGCCACGGTTTCACGTTGCCAGCCTGAGAAAACAGAAACCAGCAAATGCCCTTAATGGATGAACCCGTGAATGAAGCTTTTGTGTGCACGTTTCCATCCTGGGCTGTACTGGGAAACACTGGTATTGTGCTGCAGAACTGCAGGAGCCATCTGGTCCATGTGCCAGGCACACATCTGCTGGTGTGACTGCACTGAGGGCTTGCCAGCTTTCTGTGTGCAGCTTGGAACCCGCTCTGAATGTGTTGATGTCCTCGCAAAGATGGTTTGTGTTTGCTGTGCCACCCTGCAGGCTCCAGCAGAACGTTGTTACCTCGCCCAGCACCGCCTCAGCACCCCCAAATGTACACACTGCCACCCAAAATCCACCTACTCCTGCAGCTGGCAATGCAGGGGGTTCTCCTCAGGGGTGGGAGGCTGGATTTACACAAGAAGCTTCCCAAGCTGTGGAGCTGAACCACAGGGTGAAGGGGTTCTGGATGTGTTTTTGACTCAGGGCTTTTCCTGGAGATAAGGACACTTTGGGAAATCCAAGGGGTTAAGGCAGAACCTCTTGTCTGAACAGTCCCACCACTGTGGTCAAGCTGAAGAAGGATTTTGGACCCAGAAGGATTTTTGGACCCAGCACAAAGGGAGGTTGTGGCCAGGTGGGGGTTGGTCTCTTCCCCCAGGTAACAGGATGAAAGGAAATGGCCTCAAGTTGCACCAGAGGAGGTTTAGATGGGATATTAGGAAAAAGTTTCTTCACCAAAAGGGTTGTCAAGCAGTGGAACAGGCTACCCAGTGCAGGGGTGGAATCACCATCCCTGGAAGTGTTCAAAAAACACAAGGACGTGGCACTTCGGGACATGGTTTGCTGGTGAACACAGTGCTGGGTTAATGATGGACTTGATGACCTTGGAGGGCTTTTCCAGCCCTGATTCTGTGACTCAGTGACTCCACGGTGTGGCAGGGCCCCCTCTTTTGCCAAGGACAGAAGATCCCTGCCCTGGAACTCACCGCGCTCTCGATGCTCCGGGCCGTCTCCCCAAAGAGCTCTGACTTGGGGTCAGCCATCTCCGGGGTGTAGAACAGCTCCTGGCCTTCCACCTCCTCCAGGATGAGGACTCCTTGGAAGACTTTGGTAGCTGTGGCAGGGAGGGAACACAGGACAAACACCTTTAGTTTGGGTGGGCAGGGGGGGAGGCGTGACGCCGAGAGCCGCCAAGAGCATCCAAGTCCCTGGGGAAGGGGGATGGCAGTGTGTGGGTAGTGCCAGTGCTGGGGTTAGTCTGGATGGGTCTGGGAGAGCCATGGAGGATTAGTGTCACAGGGTGCTGGAGCAGATGGCAAAGACCAGGCTGGAGATGGCAGCTTTTACCATACGGGTTCCTCTGAGCTCCGGCCCGGAGAGCAGCCCCCCTGCACCAGCTGAGTGACAAGAGAGACACGTTAGCAGGACAGTCAGCATTCCAGCACCAGACACGGGCATGCACAGGGCACAGGAGGGAGAAACCTGGGCTCTGGACATGGAGAAGATCTGTGCTGGGAGAAGGAAGGACGGAGCCTTCCAGGCCAGCCCTGCCAAACCCGAGTGAAACTGAGACAGGTCCCTTCCAGGGGAGCAGTGGGATGCAGAGGATGGAGAGATCCCACTGTGCGTTACCACAGAGGAGGGTCCCTGTAGCTGTTGGGAGTTGAAAGGGGAATGGGGTGTCCAGAGGAAAAGGGAGGGTCCTGCTGGAAACCACAAAGGCACTTGGGAAGGACCTCAGTGAAGAAATATCTGGGACATGGCCCCAGAGCACCGATTTTCAGGGTAAGGAGGATGGACACTTTCTGAGAGAGCAGAGGTGGGGTTGTGCTTCCTCAAATTGTGGAAAGGGACTGTGAGCAGGAAGAGAGATTTCAGCTGGAGCAGAGCACACCCCTAGGAACCACTGTAACAGTCAAGCAGCTCAGAGACCCCAGGATGCCCAGCAGGGACCCTGGGGGTGAAGCTGCTCTTCCTGCCTGCCCCAGCACCAAACTGGTCCTGGCCCCAGCTCCCTTTACAGCCACTAACACAGAGAATCCAAGCAGTTCCCTCCTCCACCCTAGTGCCAGTGGAGAGCTTGGCAGAAGCCTGGGCAAAGCACTGGTCAAATTTTTAAGGCTGTAGCAGTCAAGGAGGAAGGTGGTCACCTGAGGGAAGAGAACTGGCTGCCCACGTGAACAGCAGTGCCCACCTGAGTACCAGGGCTGGCTGCTGGGGGCTGTGGCAGGTTGGCACCGTGTCTGCCAGCTGCTGTGGTTCAGCACATCCCCATGAACACCCCCTTCAAGGGACACACCAGCACCGGGACAGGGCACGGGACTGTCCTCGCTGCCAGCCGGGCAAGCACAGTGCCGTGCTGCCCTCCCTGCTGGGCATCTCTCCGTGGCACCCCACATCTCAGCCTGACTCCTGACCCCCCACAGGGACCCCCAGAACCCAACCCCGGGACAAATTCACCTGGGCAGTTGCTGCCCTCGGCGTCGGCAGCCGCGGTCTTGCCGTCGGAGCAGCATCCCAGCGGGGCGTTGTAACACGTGGCCCTCTCCACGGCCGGGGTGGACGTCACCTGGCCTTCCTCCACCTCCTCTTCCCCTGCAGGGGCACCAAGAGGAGCGTTCACCAGCAGCAGTAAGACCTCCCCTCTGCGTCAGAGAACGGGGCTGAGCCACAGCTCACACACACAGGGTTTGGCCGGACCCATGAGCGGCCCCGGAGCGCCCGGAGCGCCCACTCACCGGCAGAGCCCGCCCCGCTGGACTCCTGGTCCCCGCTGGCACCCATCTCCTGGTCCCCACTGCCCTCAGCGCTGCCCGACTCCCCGTAGGCAGGCTGGGGGGTGGCCAGGACCACCGGGGCGGTGGAGAGAGGCCGCACCGTGGTCTTGTGCCCGCCGTGGGTGGCCCAGGGCGTCGTGGCCGGCCTGGCCGTCGTGACGCGCCTCGTCGTGGGGTGACCCCGTTCCGTGGGCTTGGCTTCCAGCGGCGGGGAGCTGGTGGCCACCTCGGTGGGCTCTGGAGCCTGGGTGGTGAGGGGCAGGGGCGGGGGGAGGATGAGCCGGTCCAAGGGCAGCGTGGGCAGCGGCGTGGGAGGCGACGGGTGGCTCGTGTGGGTGATGGACTCTGGAAGGAGCAGCAAACAGGGTGGGTAAGGAGGGGGGCACCTTCCAGGAAAGGCTGATGGTGGCACTGGGAAGCAGGTTGCAAACCCGTGACACTGGTTGGGAACCCTCAGGGTACGTGCCCTGGGTAGGAAATGTCAGGAAATGCCATGGCACTGCAGAGGAAAGCAGCCAGACCTCAGGTCACGAGGCTGGCATTGCCCCAGCCCCCCAGAGCAGCGGGCACTCACCGTGGCACTGCCCCACGTGCTTCACCGTGATGACCTGGCCCTGCCTGCAGGCGATGGTCCTCAGCTGGCACTGGTCCCCGTAGGTGACACCGTCAGAGCCACACACCTGGGGGCAGAGAGGACACATGAGCTGTGCCTCTGTCCTCCTCCAAGCAAAAGAAACTCGTCTCTAAATGCTGGGAGAATTCTGAGGCAGAGGGGACACGGGAGCTGCACCCCCTGTCCTTCTCCAAGCAAAATAAAGCGGGCTCTAAAGGCTGGAAGGACTTGGAAGGAGTCCCTCTGAGGCACAGAGGGGATGGTCTGCACAGAGGGACCCGAGGTGGGCTGTGGGAGGTCAGAAGCAGAGCAAGCTCAGAGTTATCAGGTGAGGGACAGAGCATCCAGCTCTGCTAGGAGCCACCTACCACTTGCACATCCCCCTTTTCCCACGCACCAAGGCAGGGACCAAACCTGCCCTCCTGCTTCTTGTGGGGTGAAGAGACACGAGACCCCCGCGCTGCCCGATGCAGATGAACCCCCACAGGTTCCTGCTCGCCCCCCTGAGCCCCCCCGGGCTGCCTGTGCCCCAAACCTTGGTCATGTTGGCCTCTGAGCACAGTGGGGACGGGCACTCGCAGTGGGCAAAGCCGTTGACCTCCACGCACGAGGCCCCGAACTCGCAGCTCATCTCCTCACAGGATTTTGGGGCCGAGGGGTCTGGTGGGGTAGGAAGAAGAGGTGATCAGAGCACAGAGAAAGCAAAATCCCTCCCTTCCTGGCGCATCTTAGCTCTGCCAGGGACCCGTTTCTTGGTGCCCCTCACCTTTCTCGCAGCCAGTCATGCCCAGTTTGCTGCCATTGGGGCACTGGTTGCACTTCATGCCAGTGATGCCAGTCTTGCAGGAGCACAGCCCCGTCATCTGCTCGCAGTCATCCCGCACTGACCCCACGGGGTCGCAGTTACAGGCTGGGAGAGAAGGGCAAAACCACACTGTTGTGCTGGGGGGTTCATGGAGCCCACTGCAGCCTCACCCGGGTCCCTCTGGCACGGGGCACATCACCCAGCTCTGCAGGACAGCTGCTGGAGGTGACTTACAGTGGGACAAACAGTCACTGCTTGGCTTGTGATAGGACAAACAGCTGCTGGAGGTGACTTACAACGGGACAAACAGTCACTGCTTGGCTTGTGATAGGACAAACAGCTGCTGGAGCTGACTTACAGTGGGATAAACAGTCACTGCTTGGCTTGTGA